ACCAGGGCCCGGGCCGGCTGCTCGCCGTCCGCAGCGCCGGCCTCACCGCCCGCACCCCAATCCCGTCCGTCAGGTCGAACCCTCGCAGCTGTAACGCCGAAACGCAACAAACGGCTGTGAGCTGTGGGGGGAGGGAGAAGAGCTCACAAACCCGAGGGAGTCTGCGGAGGGTCTTGCCTAGTGCGAGCTTTTCCTCAGTCCCGCAGAGCGTCCGAGTGCGACTACGACGCTTCCTTCCTAGGGCTCCGGCGTGAACTGGTTTACAGCTAACGCAACCCTCAGCCTCTTGTTTTGCAGAGTTCTCCGCGCCACTGCAACTTGGCAAACCCCGCCACAGGCCACACCTCTGCCTCTCTGATTGGCTCTTACGATTATTCAAACCCGAAGGGTCCACGCCCCTTCTTTATATCGGCTTGCGATTGGTAGGTGTCTGGTTAAACCCGCCCTCCCAGTCCCTGCCTAGCATGTTCGGTGGGTCCCTCAGGTCGTTAACTCCCAGACCCGTTAGAACCGGTCAGGAGAGGAATGTACTGCTCGATTCTGATTGGCGGCGGGAAGAGGTTTTGAAAAATGGCGGGCCTAAGGCTGATTGGCTCGAGTCGTAAATGAAGGGCGTGGTTAGCCCAAGAAGGAAAGCCCCGCCAGATTTAAAAATACGAAGCGGGGCACCTGTGGGTTGTTCTCCAGTGGGTGGTCGCGGCGGCCCGGTTCGCTGGCGCTAAGGTAACGGAAGAAGCCTATCCTGTCCCTCTTCCAGCCGTCGTTTAGGTCCTGTCGTAAAGTTCCATCCCGGCTCCAGGCGCTGTCTCCTGGGAGCTGTAGTCCCACCGCTGTGCGGTCCCGTGGGGGCTTCCCTGCGCCCTTCAAAGAATAAACGGGGAGAGACTGAGGAATTTTCCTGCGGACGGCTGCCCCATTCCTCCTGTGGTGGCCGAGGTCTGGCTAAAACCCGAGTTAGATGAGGCGGGGAACCTCGGAAAGGGTTTCTGTGAGGAGGCTGCCCCCGCCTTTAGCCGGCCAGGCGCTTCCCGCCCAGAGAGCCGCCTCCCCGCTTCGTCCCGGGCGCCCAACGTGGGGAGAGGTCGGGGCCGCCAGCCACGCCCTCCCGCGGTCGGACGGGGCCCCGAGCCACTGCAGCAGCAGAATCCGAAGCCTCACGGGTTACACCTGTTACCCTGAGCCAGGGCTCAGAACCCTGGCGGCTGCCGGCCTCCAGCGGGCCTGGCCTGCGTCCACCTATTCCCCGTCGGCGTCCTGAAGTGGTAGAGGTTAAAACAGAATCATCCGCTGAGAGCAATAGATGCACCCCACACCTAAGTGCCCAGAGCAACTTTTTTCAGATCCTTCCAAGCCCGAGTTAAGAACCTCCGATTTAGGGTCCAAGGAGAGAGCACCAAAGCTACCTAACCTCACTGCTTACCAGAGAGCGCCCCGAGCTGCTTTTCCCAAGGTAGGCTAACTTTGGTTGACATTTCAGCGTGCTCTGTGTTGTATGCAATTTCAAAGGGTTTTCCTCCCGCCTCTTGGCCTATATGTTGCCCTGACGGTTTCAAAATGGATTGTAAATATTTGTTCAGTAAGTGTGCTTGCTTATGTGGAACTCCTGTGTGGGTTATATATGGCAGTCATACTTGATAGTACATCGGGATTACTAGATACACTAATAAAAACTAGACTTTACAATGGAAACGGGTAGTGGTTGCCCAACACTTTAAAGTAATGCCAATGAATTGTACACTTAAAATCGCTAAAAACGGCACTTATTATGTATGTTTTCCAATAAAAAGTGGCAGTTTTTTAAAAAGAAAATTGTATGTTCTTGTTTTAAGGATTCTAAAATTTAATCATAATCCTTAATTTATAACATTCTGTGTTGCCCGAAGTTTATAGCTACAAAAATCACAATTGCAGATGTCCTATAAAAGCACAGAAAATCTAAATTAAAAAATTAAATCCTACCTTCAGATAATAATAAAAATTAGATCATTGATACATTAGATTTTTAAAGTACATTTTAAATTTTTATATTTTTGGAACATTCTTTAGAAAACAACTATAGCTTAAAATAAGTTGTGCTAATTTTAAAATTGGGCATATAGCCAAGAACTGTTTATGAAATCTTTCATGTAGTGAGCTTAGCAGGAGAAATATAAAGATAAAAAGTCATGGTCTTTGCTTTCAGAGAATTTACAGTGCAAAGGGAGGCAAAAATAGGAATGAATGGTATAACAATAATTGTTAAAACTGTTCAATAATAAGAACATAAGGTAAAAATCACCCATACGTGTATGAGAAAGTAGGGAAAACCCTCTATGAAGGTAGCATTTGAGTCAAGTTAGAATGGGAATATTAAGGGAGGGGGACCCAGAAATGCCTTTGAGAGAACCTGATTTATTTGAGAATCAATTACAAGTTCAATAGTTTACAAACTTACACTTGTCAAAGTTTGGCAGTTTACAAAGAAAGTCCTTATCCTATAGGGATAGACAAAGGAACCACTGGAAAGTGTGAGGGACAGTGAGGTAATCAGATTTCCACGTTAACTGACAATGTCTAGGCCATGGTGTAAATGAGGTCAAATTATTCATTGTGTTTGTTCTTTTCTATGGTTCCAAAGTTGTGGCCCAAGGGGGATAGTAATAGATTTGACAGTCCCTTATGTACGTACATACATAGTCTCACTATAAATTTTTGATATTAATTAAGTTTTACTTCATTTGGGGAATTATGCCATTATATAATTTAACAAATTGGTTTCACAAGCTACTTTTTGGGTCACTATAATGCAAATAATGGATGTCTTCACATGCCAATGCCAAATCAAAGCTATTAACTGAAATCCATATCATAGCACTTCTAGAGTACAAGAATCATGATTTTAGACCTCTTTCTATTCTGTCAATAGTACTACCAATTGTTTGTATTTGCTATGTGTGTTATTTTGAAAAGGTTTTTATTTATTTGTGGTACTGGCAACCAGACCTAGGAAATTCACAATCAGCTGCATCCCAACCATATCTATCTTCTATCTATTTGAGACAGGGTCTCAGTTGTTAGGTTGCCTAGGCTAAGTTTGAATTTGCCATTCTCCTGCCTCAGCCTCCCAGAGTGCTAGGATTACAGTATGTGTTTTAATCACTTCCCAACTGATATATTCAGGAGCAACAAAGGACGATAGAGCAAGCTGACCGTAGATATTAAGCTCACTTATGTGTTATGGCTTGAATTTTGACATATACATCTGCCTCTTCCTTTGCCCAAACTTCATATTTTGAAATTCTAATACCTTACACATTCCTACGTGACCTCTACCCCTGGGCTACATCCTCTGCCTTTTTAATTTGTTTAAATTTTGAGACAGAGTCTCACTAGGTTATTTAGGCAAGCCTTCAATTTATGATTCTCATGCCTCAGCTTCCTGAGTAGCTGGGACTACAGGTGTGTACCACCACACCCAGATGCAGTGTGTCTTTCTAAAAGATGGTAAAGAAGAAAATGTTTATGTACATAATTTTTAAAAGTATAAAAAATCCTCAGCAAGGGCTTGTGATTTAGAACAGCTCACCTAGCATTTCTGGGCTTTGTACATTATCTGAGCGTAGTGGCATACACCTATAATCTCAGCTACTCAAGAGGCTGAGACAGGAGGATCACAAATTTGAGGCCAGCCTGGAAAACTTAGCAAGACTCTTACCACAAAATAAGAAATAAAAAGGGCTGGAGATGTAGCTCAGTGATAAAATTCCCCTGAATTCAATCCTCAGTACCACATACACATGTCTGCAAATTACTTTAGAACAATATTTGAAAAGTTGATAGCTGCCCAAGCATAATAAGCTATGGGAACCAAACTGAATTACACAATGTTTCTCTCATTTCACTTCTTTCATTAAAATGATCACAGCTTTTTCCCCCAAAATGGTATCATTATATTACTTTATTTACCCAACTTTGCCTAAGTTCAACATCTCATAAATCATAAAACATGTTGTAGCAATAAACTAAGAGGGAAGGTCTTTCCAAAGCAGTCCCCTATACTATATGTACTTACCTATAAATGGCTTTTCTATTGATAAACTTATCTACAGGCATCAATCTTGCAGAATTGTTTATTAAATTGTTATACTAAATATTTAATTTCTATCATTTTTAATCAGTTTTCTTGAAAAATTGAATCAAATCACACGGGAAAATATATAGAGAAGCATATAAAATATTATTTTCTTGATTTGTGAAAAACTGAAAACCATTACTAAAGATAAATCTTAGAATGCCACTTAGTATTTTCAAGTTATTTTAAAAGCAGGGAGAGCTGGACTTGGTGGGACACATCTGTAAGACTCAGGAGGCTGAGGAAGGACAATCACAGAGTGTTTCAGGACAGCCTTGGCTACACAGTGAATTCAAAACCAGCCTAAACTACATAGCAAGAGCTGTCTCAATAAAACTAAATAAATAAAATAAAGGCAATGAAAGAGGACAGGT